TCTGGATTTTTGGTAAAGGCTAAATTGTTAGTCTACTTGGCAAATGCCTTAATTTCATCTGTTTTTGTATAATAACCCTTTTAGTGTCCTTCACATGCAGCAAAGCAGGTATATTTAGATCTCAAAAAACACGGCTCCTCATGCATCTCGTCTCAGCTTTCCTTTTGCTCGATTCGTTTCAGGCTTTTAGTCACTTGTCTGAAGCTTTGCAATTTCAAACTGTACAGGTTACATCAGAGCGCTTGCGTCGCCTGTGGTTTTTTGCGACCGTATTCATGGTTTCCTTACAAACACAAATATAAATCGTATATGCTGCGCTGTGTGGGAGCAAAGAAAGCCAATGAAAACATGCACGCATTATAGACTTATTCCCTGAAAAATGGCAAGAAGTAACAAACAAAAAAAGCTCATCAATCACTTTACATCAGCCTGTGGAGATACAGTTACAAACTATTCCACTTCCAGACATTAAGTGGAAGCTACACCTGAAAATGAGACAAAATCCATAACTTCCTGAGTCAACTTGTTACAAAAGGTGAATCAGCAGAAACAGTGGGGGATGGTCAGAGATACTGGCAGCTACTGGTGAGTTTGCAGTTTTGACAAAGTGATAAAAATGTGAAGAAAAACCAAAAAAGGAAAATATATAGGAATATCTGCAGAATCTGAATTATACAATATTATTTTCAGTATGTGTGAGTGTATAAATTACGTGAATTTCTCCTGTGGCGCAGTATCTTTATACAGCACATTGTTATTGTTATTACAAGGAGATCAGACTCAAATATATTTTAGTCAAGTTCTACATTCAAGAGCTGCGTATAATGTTTTTCACATACTGTTTTGGACTCGCTCGCACCCCTCTTTGAAGGTGCATTAAGCAACTTTTTTTAAGTGCATATTTGACCATGCACCTCCTGTGGACTCACCACCTGCAGAGGGTCAGTGAGGGGCTGGTGCTATGAGACTTGGGTGGCATCTCTGACTGCCACCCCCCTGACCCAGAAATGGATTAAAGGGTAGAAAATGGATGGATGGATGGATTTGACCATGCAGTTTCCTGGTGGCTGTTTGACTGGGCAGCATGGGGCCTTAACTAATGAGAATGGTTGTGTCTAGAGGGCTCCAGGACCAATGGTTGTCTATGTTTTCTGGTGAAGCAGAACCAGAAAACCTTCCAAACAAAAAGATCTTATTAAATTCTAGTGACCACTGTGATGGAAAGTAGAGGCACCATGTAGACCATTCCTACATGGTATATTCAATGTTCATAATAAATTATCATTATGAAGTTCACTCAATAACTTTCACATTGTTTTATTCTTCAAATACAAAAACACTGGTGGCCAAATTTCACATGAGACAGAACTGCAGTATCTTTCTGATCTAGCACAGGCTACACATTCAATTTTCAGTCAGACATAGACCAGAATTGTAAGATTTGATCCTTAAAGTGGAACATTGTAGTCCCACCATGAAAACTATTGTAAAACACGTTGATTTCCATGTTTTTAAAAACTTTACTTCTCATATGTGAAGACATTTGGAGTATTTAATATTTTGGTGACATAGAAACCACAACATAACTATTCTTACTGAGGCTTTGTGCATTATAATATTGGACAAAATCAGGCCGCCGCACAGAACCATATCCCTCCCATTAGCGCACATGTGTTATTCATGAGGGCAAAGCTAGGGTGAACTTTGTATCATTCTTATTCTGTACAGACTTCTCTCATTGTCTGGGGACCCTAGGTCATTCTGTTTTATCCATTTATTTATCTTTTATCTTTGTTTAAAAAGAACCCTCACAAAAAGACAGACTCAGACAATGGCTTGCAATTAAAACTATACTACTATGATTTCAATGGTGAGTTTGCTGGATGGCAGCAGGGAAAGTACAGGGGTTAATCCATAGCAGGAAACGTCTAAAATAACATTGCATCTCATTTTAAAGTGCCCTCCTTCTTAATTTAGTCTAACTCCCGATCAGAGTGTGGCTGCGTTCATATCCACAGCTATTCATAAGAAACCATTTGAGCGGAATGGGCTTCTATTCATGTGTACAATGGATTTATGACACATTAAATCCTTTATGTTTTCAAATCACGTTTCCGTTCGCTGAGCCGATGACCGTAGCTCTCTATTCATAACAGAGTAAACAAAAGTGATTCGGCTCTGGCTGCTTGTCCTGCAGAGATCTCGTGCTTTAAACTCCATAAGCATGTGTTGTGAAATCATGCACATTCCTCTCATTACAAGTGACAGCGGTGGAGATGGAATCAGTGCGGAGGTCCAATTTCACAGCTGTTTGACAGGGCACACATGGCCCGTGCAGAGATAAGGAATGGGTGGAGCCTCATCTCCCTCGACACATTGTTTGCATGCATATGGAAATACATGAATCATCGCAGAGTGAGCCTCAGCATCCTTCTCTCTCCGAGCTAAAACATTCATTATCCAAGAAGAGTGCTTTTTTTTATTCTTTGAGCGATGTAACATAAATATGAAATAAAAACATAAATAAATGTACAGGATTGCTAAAAATAGTATTTTCACCAACTTACCGTAGCCTAATATAGTATATATGGCTGGAAGAGATAATATTTTATTTTTTGTTAATGGCCTTTATTTAAATTATGAGATTTCAGATTCTCTTTCCTGGCTCTCTATTGTATATATTATTAGCAGTGGGGGCAGGTCCCGGCTCAAAAGTTGCCAAAATGACATACGCTGACATACTTGCAATACCACCCCGGGCCGATGGGGGTGGACCCATTATGGACCCATTATTCAATGCTGACATATAGCATCTTCTTACCTCTCGATAACGTCTTTACAGGATGGTCCAAAAGTTGGCTGTTGGCCCAAAGCTCCGTTCCACATGTGTGTCAATGCTGAGGGGAGTGAATTTTTTTGTTTAGTCGTTGTGAAATTTTGAAGGCACTCGTTAAATGAATGGGGCTCGTGCCGGCTGACGCATGCGCAGATGCGTTTTTTCCATAGACTGTATATATTAATGGACAGAGTCACGCCTATCTCCGTCATTCATAGGAGTTGGCCATGAAAAGTGCTTTCATGGAGCAATCCAAGATGGCCCCGAGTGGTCCCGCCCACAAGAAAATTGTGAAAACACGCATCTGCGCATGCGTCAGCCGGCGCAACTCCATTCATTTGAACGAGAGACTTCAAAAATTCCCCGCGAGTAAACTAGAGTGGACCAAAAAAAATCACCCCCCTCAGCATTGACACACATGTGGAACGGAGCTTTGGGCCAAGAGCCAACTTTTGGTCCATCCTGTAAAGACGTTTTTGAGAGGTCTGCTAACGCTATATGTTAGCATTGGCTAATTCTTCTTCTGGGTCCACCCCCAACGGCCCGGGGTGGTATTGCAAGCATGTCAGCGCACGTCATTTTGGACACTTTTGAGCTGGGACCCTCCCCCACTGGTTTTTTCACATTTTCCAGCCCCCGCGGCCATTTTGATACTGCCCATAGACCAAAGAAGTTGTGGCACATTAGTTAGAACGGCGGAGATAGGCGTGACCACGTACGTTAATATTTACAGTCTATGGTTATTAGCGGTAGGAGAGCATCAGGAGGAAACCTATGCAGACACAGGGAGAACACGCAAACTCCAGTCAGAAAGGCCCTGTTTCGACCCAGGACCTTCAATGTTGAAATACAATGATTCAGCAAATATTGTCCGAAACCATTATATGTGCTGATATATCACACATACCTTAAGGAAATATTAAAACGCTTACTTTGTAGATATATAAATTGTTCGAGTAACAACATGCTGTTTTGATTATCAATGGAGGTTCTTTTTAGTAACATTTGTTCAACAAAAACTATTTTTCCTTATAATGCAAACATAAAACATAAATTTTTACTTTGCTTTTTCCCATAATCATTTCTTTCCTATAGTATCCATTTCTATTCTATCCATCTCTTTGCAGCTTATGTTCAAACCGAAGAAAGAATAATGAAAATAGTTTTAAGACCTTAAAACGTGTAATTATTATGAAGCGTGAGATAGAACTCATGAATAATAGAATATCCTGCTGGTTTGGCATTAGAAGGCCGTGTTGGATTCAAATCAGATAAAACATAAAAGCATAATATTCAATTTGTTCCTTTTCTCGGAGGTCACCGGGATGTGAACTGACACCAGCGATACAACTATAAAGTCAGCCCTGCCTGTGGCTGCTACAAACGCAAATTAATCTTAATCTTAAATAGCAACTTAAACATGTACTTTTGTCATGTCTTTTTGTCTTTAAAAAAATAAGAAAACATCTTTATTTCCCAGAGGCACTGTAATTGCTTCAACCTATTTGTTCAGTCAGGGGGTTGCCATTTGCAATACATCTAGGTAACAAAAGCCAGCAGAGATAAAGATTGAAATAAATTGCTTCGCTCCGTGCTCTGTGCTTTTAGCTATTACACTGTGGCAGACCTGAAGTAGACGGTAATGCGGCAAAAACACCGTATCCGCACGCAGCTGTTAAAAATAAAAGCTTAATTCAGAGCGTTCGAAGCTGTATTTTCATGTCACTTTGTAGTTTCGACCTTTCCCCCTGCCGCCGCTGCCTTCGCACTGTGGTAAACCGTGAACAATCACATCATTTATTGGACACATTCTTCTGCAGCAGGATGCATTTCTATTGTCGCCCCGGTGTCGAGCCCGAACAAACAGGATTAGATTTATGCCCTGGTAGGCGCGCACAGTTCACACCTCACTTTGAGCGCATACACAGAATTATAGCGAAAGGTCACTCAAGTCAGACGCAGCTTAAGTCCCTCTTGTCCCAAAAAAATGCCATGCTAGTTTAATTCGTAACCCCGAAAATTTCTAGCAGAAAGCCGACGGGATTACTGTGGGCAGAAAGCAGCAGAGGCGTATTGATTGGAGGTATGAATCAGCTCAGTTATGCTGTGAATAATAAATTAAAATTCCGAGTGGGTTAGGAGGTTGTCAGATAGATCTTTCACGATGTTTGAGATGAGCGACTTGTGGAGGAATCCTTATAAGTTCCCATTTTCTCACGTCTCGGGAACTACGTCAACGATCTCCGCCCAGCTCAGTTTAAATACGCATTCCACGGCCCATTTAACGGCGCGCAAAAACGGCGATCACTGCTTCTACTCAGCTGCTAACTCGTGCCAGCTGAATAAGAGTTGCACTGTTAATAGCAAATCTCCCCAAGGTGCCCGAATATTGGAAATGATAATTTTGTGAAATGGCTGCATAGGCCTGGCATGAATAAAATGTTGCACAAAGGATTTCATCACCAGCCTCAGAGAAACATCTTGTGACTTCCTGAAGCAGGTGTTATTGTTTGCTCAATTCAATAAACATGTGGATCTGGGGTTTGTGTGAATTTTGACTGCAAATAGTGGCACTAAAATATGCAGAGTCGAGGCAAGGACAAATTTAACTTGTAAGACAGAAAACAAGTTTTGGAAAAAGTTACATTGACAGGCAGGTCATTGTTGAGCATGTTTTTGTTATTGAAATCAGCCTGGGTTGGATTGTTTATCTCATCTCCAAAGGGATTTCTTTTCGTTAGTGGGTTTGTGTATGTAGACTTAGAGCTGAACAGAATTCCTAAGTATTTTTATTGTTGATTTAAGACAGTGTGCTTTAATGTGGATGTTAGTTTATTTACAAATTGTGAGGAGAGAACATTTTCTTATAAAAGCACCATTTAGAACCACCCCAACTGCTTCCTGTTTGGATGCCATTGGGGTAACTACTCCAGTAAAGTGTACTGGTGGAGGTTGGGAGGTGGAACTATGTTAAATACAACAAATGAAAAATGAAAATGAACTGCAACTGAAGTTACTGACGTCACACGGAACGTCTTATAATAAAGACGAAACAACATGGATTTGGATCAAAGTGGTTTGATGGTAATATTTTGATCTTAATGAAAATATCACAGTACGACATATTGTCAGTTGTGGTCTCCTCAACCGTGCAGAGAGGAAAAGACGAAAGGAAAATACAAGAGTAATTGTGACCATAGAAGTCTGAAACGCTGGGTGGATTTTCTCAACAGGCATAATTGACATGAAAGACCTGAGACTAGTCCAAACACCCATCTATTTTCTAATGCTTGATTCGAGGCCGGGTTGTTGGAGGCAGCAGTATGAACAAAGATTCCCAGATCACAAAGCGTTTCCTGTCCAGCTGTCTCTGAACTGGCCAGGAAACATTCAGGGTTTCATCTAGGGTTTGAGTAAGTATTAGTAGTAAATAAGGTTTATTTATATGTAGCTCATTATATAGACCAAGGTCACCCAAAGCGCTTGACAAATGTTCAGGGTTCAGAACACACTTTTTCTCCACAGGGTGATGACAAAAGCGAGTCGCCAAACACACTCCACTTAAAGCCTCCAACCAACACCATCCATTCACTCACTGATTACATTCATACCTGTTGCGCATGTTTTTTAGTGGTAGGGGAAACCGGAGCACCAGGAGGAAACCTACGCAGACACGGGGAGAGCATGCAAACTCCACTCAGAAAGGCCCTGTTCCGACCGGGATTTAAACCCAGGACCTTCTTGCTGAGAAGCGAGAGCTATCCACTCAGCCACCATGCCGTGCTGCGTGAATGTGTAGAAGTGATTAGCCCTCTTTGACTTCAGAGAAAATCCTGTAGAACTAAACCACAAAATGTGGTTTGAGTGTGTGTGAGTGTGCGCGACACTTTCTCCCGCGATCGATATGCATTTGCCAAGTATTGATTTTGAAAAAAATAAATATATATATATATATTATTTATTTTTTACTAGTATCAATACTTAAAATATGGCTAAATTACACATCTCCATTCCATTTATCATGAAATAAAGTGTATTTTTTCACTTAAAATGTTTCTATTTTATGTATGCCATATATTGGCATATGGTATATTGCTGACCAATATATCGATAATTGTCATATCGTGATATAATCGTTATTGTGAGCTTTGTATCGCGCATCGTATCGTCAGGTACCCTTAGGTTCCTACCACTACAGTTTAGCACCTGGATTGATAAATATACCCCGTAGTCTGTAGAGCGTGTCCTGGTCTTCCTCTGGGACGTCCAAAACAGATACCTCAAGGTGAAAAACATAAGTGGTTCTCACAGATCTGTGCGTGTTTGGGTTAAGGCTGTAGTTTTACTCTACGACTGAAATTGAGTAAGTTGTTATTTAGTAAATATGATACAAAAGCAAAACACAAACATATCAGAAAAATGCCAGACAGAACATGACATTCAACAACAACAACAGACATAACATTTTAAATTGTAATCAAATGTAATATGAGTGTTGTGTTTGCATAAGTGTGCAAGTGTGTCAATTATCCCAAAAAAATAACATTTATTAATAAGTGGGAAGTGGAAGGAAAGAGATATGTTATAACAGTATTTCTTGAGCCGTTCCTTGCCGATGCAGGACAGTAGGACAATTATAATCAGGGACATTTATGGACATTTATTAATATTTATGGACAGTGGTCGTCCCTCTCCCTATGGATCAATTGCACCTTCTGTATGTGTTTGTTATTATTGTATTTCCTTTGTTCCAACTGTGATTCTCTGATCTGTTGTTGGTTAATCCAGGATTCAATATTCAAGATTCAGTTTATTTTCCATTTGCAGTAAAACCACATTGGAATAACTTTGCTAGGCTACCCCAGTGGGCGGATGGTACACACCAAGCTCTTGCTGAGACGACTGTTGTTGTGTTTTAGGGTTATGCTAGCCTTTATATCTACATGTAAAGCGTCTTGAGTTTCCAAAAAAGCGCTATATAAAACTGATGCATTATTATTACTATTATTATTACTGTACACTGGATGCTTTATTTAAAATGCTCAGTTTTTGTGTTTTAGGAATGCGTTTAAGTAGCTTTGAAAAAAATAACAGATAAATCGTGATCAGAGCTGTTGTCAACTCTCATCTGTTTTTTTTGTTGAGCTGTTATTTTTGCTTCCAAAAGATGAAAACTCGAGCATACATGGATCTACATACATGTGTTTTTTTCTGATTACAGGCTGTGGGCTGGAGTTCCTGCTGGTCCTCTGTGGACTGGACTTCTCCTGGTCCTGCCCCCGTCACTGCATCTGCTACACCACGCCCAGCACCGTCTCCTGCCAGGCCCATAACTTCCTGACAGTCCCTGAAGGCATCCCACCGGAGAGCGAGCGCATCTTTCTGCAGAATAACAAAATCCACCGCTTACTCCGCGGCCACTTCAGCACCAACACAGTCACTCTCTGGATTTACTCCAACAACATCACGTACATCGAGCCCTCCACGTTCCACGGCTTCACGCTGCTGGAGGAGTTGGATTTGGGGGACAACCGGCACCTGCGCACCCTGGCCGAGGACACGTTCCACGGGCTGGGTCGGCTCAACGCGCTGCACTTGTACCGCTGCGGCCTCAGCTCGCTCCCCAGTAACATTTTCCAAGGCCTCAGAAACCTGCAGTATCTGTATTTGCAGGTATGGTGTTTTGAACCCCTACTACAGCAAGGAGTGCAGCAGCTCAGTGCTTTACTTACTTATTTTAAATTTAAATTTATTCCTTAGAAGCGTTTTTTATTCTTTATTTTTTATTATCTCTTTCTGACTGTTGCACTGAGCCAAAGCAATTTCCAAGTCTGTGACTTCCTGTTACTTACGTGGCAATAAAAATTATTCTGATTCTGATTCTGATTAAGTAAAAGTAAATAGACATCATACACAAAAATCACTCCCTTATGTATGTCAAAGTATCGAATTGCAAACTTGTGTATAAACATAAGTAGAAAAGTACATTTGATGGACAATACATTTATTTTTTAGATGTTTTCAGAGTCGCCTTTGAAACACTAGAGAAACATTACACTGTTGTAGAAATTTTTCACAACGGCAGAGAATATGTGACAAAACCCTAACGTCAACCAAAAGATTAACTGCACTTAGAAGCATGGCTAACCACTTCAAACCTGTTTAAGTAAAAAAAATACTTGTAAAAAGGGATGAATAAAGGATTTCTCTTAATCTCGATGTTCAAAACTGTATCTTGACCTGTTGACACGACTTAAATCATTATAGTTAACAAGATACTTAGAATTCAGTTCAATCGGTGTTACTTGATACAAAAAGTGCTCTTAAAACAGAACAGAACAAGAAGCTTACGACACCTGTTCCAAGTGACATGCAATTTAAGTGCAAACAACTACACTTTCTCAAGTTATGCTAAATATTATTTGTCTTCTTTCACCTGTTTCAAATTCTTGGGTTACTTGTTGTTGAAGATATTATTATTGCAGTGCAGAAATCGTTAAACTCATTGGGGAAACTAAAGTAAACTAATGTACTTTCACTTTACTGTAAATGCATCAGGAGGAATGTTCAATTAAAGTAAGAACATAACTAACTGCACTTGAATGCACCATGGGATGAAAAGTAAATGATTACATATACTTACATTGGTCTGATTGAGTAGATTTTTTCAGTAACTTTTCATTAGGTTTTTGTCTTTTGTGGAATCTAGTTAATTACATTTAAAATCATTGTAACTCCAGTTCCCATTGTCGTGTCTGACTGTTGTCTCATGTTTCTACACTTGCAAATATCCGCATTGCATCAACTGCTTTAATTGGCCAGAACTCTACTTTGCCAGAATTGCATCTAATTTATTACAAGCTTTGTAAATCTGCGTTTACACTTGTCCTATCTCCTATGTATGGATGTATATATAGAATCAAAACCTTTACATTCAAATCATGTATTAATGTGTCCAGTAACAGTGGAAAATAACCTTTTGGATCACATGTATTAAATAAACTGCTTTATTCAGCCCCCATCGAAGCATACAAATATCCCCAAAATCATCTAATTTCAAAAGCAACATAATAATGTTATCTGAAACACTATTTAGCAACTTTCTTGTTTCTACCAAATTCTGCAAACAAAGACAAAAATTACAAAATTGGAAAACATTATCTTTTGAGTGAGTTGGTCCTGCTTAACTTTTGGACGTTGTTTTGCATTGATTGCAAAGTATTTCTAGATACATCACAATATATTCACAATATTCATGAACCACAGCCCACAGATGACTTCCCTAACCACCCATTCTATGTGTTTTGTCTCCCACTTTAGGATAACCACTTAAAGTTCCTCCCTGAAGATACGTTCACGGATCTCCACAATCTGAGCCATCTGTTCCTCCACGGGAATCATCTGTGGAGCCTTAACCAGAACACCTTCAGGGGCCTGCGCGCTCTGGACCGGCTGCTCCTGCATCAAAACCAGATTGAGTGGGTCGACCGCTTGGCCTTTCACGACTTAAAACGCCTCACCACTCTCTACCTGTTCAACAACTCTCTGGTCCAGTTGTCTGGGCAGTGCTTGGACATGCTTCCAGGCCTGGAATACCTCCGGCTCAACGATAACCCGTGGTCATGTGACTGCAAGGCTGTGTCATTGTGGGAATGGCTGAAGCGGTTTCGTGGCTCAACATCCACAGTCGGTTGCCAGGCGCCGTCAAACATGATCGGGAAAGATTTAAAAGAACTCCGCAAAGAGGATTTTCCAAACTGTTCCCCATCTGAGTCCAGAGCTCAGACTAATAACATTTCTGGAACGGTCCATCCCTCCATGAATCGCGCCGTGGTGGGCAACACCGGGAACAACGCCCACTCATCTCGACATGGCCGCACGCGTAACTGCACAAAGCCGCGGGTTCGGGCAGGCAAGGGGAAGGGAGACAATGAGGTGCACCACTCCAAGGAGGTCATGGCCGACAAAGATGACTCGTCAGATTTGACAGAGGGAGGAAAACATGATCACACGCTTCCCGACGGCACGGTTACGCGGCGGAAGCAAAAGTGTACACCTCGGACCACTGTGCGGCCTCCTAGTGGGGTCCTGCAAGCCAACAATAGGGCGACCTTATCCCAGTCAATACTATACGTCTACGCCCTTTCCGTTGCTTTGGTAACAACAAGCACCGACTTTGTTCGCTGACCTTCAAAGGGTTTGAAACTTGGAAATCACACACAGCGCCAGACACTGCGCTCCGGCTCCTGCGTGCAGGCTTGTGTAACTTCTGTCTGTGTGTGGTTATGTGTGTAAATGTTCGGCAGGGGGGAAGATGAACAAAAAGAAGATTCACAGCACAATGTAAGGGACTGGAAAAGGTTGAGAACAAGCTTGCACTGCCACTAAGCCAGAATGATCCAACATCCATCTTCATGCCAGTTTATGAACACAGAATTGGTAAAAATGTGGTTTGAGTTAAACTGATTACGGCAATGGGATTGAGACAGTGACGGATAGAGAGTTTAATGCTAGTTGCCTTTGTGTTCGTTCAGTTGTTTGTTTCTCAAGGTTTTGTCCATATTTGTTTGAGACTATCAACTATGAATGCCAAGTCATTTCAGGAAATGTGGCAGCAGTGTCAATGCAAAACAATTTTCATACATATTGACAAAAGAATGTGTCCAATATAAATGAGGGTTCATTTTTTGGGGGTTTGTGTCAACTATAATTGCCATATAATTCTGATTTGTTTGCATTACTGCGTTCATTTCCATTTCCCATTAAGTGTGTCTTGGTAATAAGCTGCTAATTGTTCCACCTTTACAGCATTGACATTTTAATTTGCTCTGAAAAACAAAACTGTCTCTGGGAATTCAAGCTGTGAACATGAAAGTGTCAATCCGTCTATATCTTGTGTCAGACGTTGTTTTGATTTTTAAGACAATAAATGGACCTAAAAGCCGGTGCTACTCAGCGCTGCAGGGTGCAACAGGAGCCTTAGTGGTCCCAAGAGTGCAAATATGGTTCTACGGCATAAGGTTGTGCTGGACCGACACCACTGCAAACTCTGGCATTGTTTCGGCTGAGAAGTACCCAAAGGAACAATATATAAAAGACTCGTGCGATCAATAAAAGATTACAGAAATGACTGGACTCCTGCTGGGACTGAGTATAAACCTCTTTATAAAAATGATTTTCCATGGATATTTGTCATCCAGGACCAAGACAATCGCGTTGGATGTATTGAAGGAGCGACAAAGTACAATGCAGACGGTTACACTATGGGATGTGCAGCTGCAGCTTTTGTGCCTCTGGAAAAAAAATTCTGGATGAGAAAGAATCACAGACAAGAGGACATGGATATAAATCATTTACTGTATACCTATGAGAAAATATTGAGAACAGGGTTTAACTTCTCCTACTGTCCCCAGGAGTCTGATTTTGGTGATTTGTTTATTAGTTGCATATTTTTCATAATATATTTTTATGCACAATCCCTATCCCACACATTATATTCTGTTATTTTTTTTTTTTTCATTGATTGTTGGGATTTTTTGGTCTTTGATCGTTTCTGTAAGTTGTCATCAAACACCAACATGACTAAAATGTTTATAAAGATATTAAAATCTATATCTTCTTATGTTTACTGCTTCTGCCTGTGTTTATTATTGCTTGCATCATTGTCAGCAACTTAAAATGCAGTTATTTTTTAAAGAGATTGTCTATTAGATTTTAAATAGTCCTTTCCCTTAGCATAACTACAAACAGTAAGATTTTCTGGAGGAGAATAGTTAAACCAATCACGAAGAGCCCCACGGATTTAGATTAATTTGGACCAATCAGGAAGCTGCGACGGTGAGCATGGGAGGGTCTAACCACTCTCTCTTTGCAATTCGAATAGTAACTGATATCCATTTTATTTCCATTGTAACATAAGATAACATAGCACGTCACATTTCAAAAAGAAGGAGGACACAAAATTCAATGCAGCAAACAATAATATAATTCAATAAACAAGAATCCAAAAACAAAGCTCAACTGAATGTAAAACAAAGGAACAGAGGACGAAGACAAGAACCACGGAACAAACACTGGCAACAAGAAGGAAAGAGCACAGGGAATTTAACTGGGAGACACAGGTGAAACACATCAGGCAATCAACGCAACAGGAAGTAAAACTCAAAATCAAAACAAAATAAAACAGGAACTAAAAATGACACATGATGCCCCAATACCCATGATGCCTGGACAAAGTAAGGGCTGTTCTGCACCAATATTTTACATGTATGCACCTTTTAGGTTTAGAGCGTGATCCAGTCTGATCCAGTCTGTTTTGAAAAATAATCTCATTTCATTTTGATGAGCTTGATAATATTTTCACATTCAAAATGGGAAGAATTTTAATTGAATTTTAATCGACAAAGCAATAATTTCCAATGGCTTCTCCAGTGTAATAGAATTAGAAAACTATTATGGCCCTGAAGGAACCCCATACTTCATCCAAATGGGCAAACGTGGAAGGCAGGCAGTGTTGCATTGTACTGGAGTATGTTTAAACCTATTTAAATTATGTATTGTCGCTATGGAGCTCTTCACACTCCATATTCTGAATTCTTATAAAACCCATTACTCATTTACACACCTTAGATTAACCTTTCTGGCCACCAAAGGTATAGGGTAAAATGATATAGTGTTGTTCAATAAATCTTTGAATAACACTCCAGAGATATTAATGAAAGTGTCATACAGACTCTGTAGATATTGCTGGCTATTATGATTATTAATGGGCCTTGAGAACAAATTCAATTTCCTTCCTCTAAATCCCTCTCACTGGGATAGAAATTGATCCACAAGTAAGTGTTCAATTTAATATTTTCAGATTCTCTTAAATGATGAATGAGGGCAGACGGATTGGTTAATGCCAGAATTGGTCGCTGTAATTATTCTGAAAGCTCTGAGCATCTGGCGAATGACACACTCCCTTGGTCTGCAGCACTTCAAACATATAACCACTTTAAAGCACATTCTAAAACATCTCAGCGAATGTTCCCAAGCCTGAAACTTATAATGAGGACCCATTTGGTTCGCAATGAGTGATCCAGACATCAGGTGAGCACAAAGGTTGTTTCCAGCTCCGTGTGCAAGTGGTGATGGACGATACGGTCATCGCTAGGTTGTTTGTTTGCAAGAACGGAACGGAACGCAAGACAACCAATGGCAAAATGTATATTGAAGAAGAACAATAACTGCTCATCTGTATGAGAAAACAAACATCAAGACTCTATACTACTAGCACAGGCAAAAGCACACACCTCAGCCAAGAAGCGCAAAAAAGTGTATCCCGACTGTGATTCGGCTCACTTCCAAAATCGACTCAATGGTTCCTTGACCCATTTTCGAGGTGTCAATATCCACACAGAACTTTTTCACTCATGTTTCAAACAAAAAGACAAAAAACAAATCCTGATGACTTATGGTCACTTAACCCTGTGGTTGAGGTAATAATGCAAAATGTTATGTCATGTCATGTCATTTTCTATCCATTTATTAGTCCATTTCTGGGTCGGGGGGTTGGCAATCAGAGCTGCCACCCAAGTCTCACAGCACCAGTCCCTCGCTGATCCTCCTGCAGGTGGTGGGTCCACGGAAAGATGGCTTCTACATCATTGACGAGATAGCCTTGGTCTTTCAGCGTGGGCTTCAGGCAATGTGGGGTTAAGTGTCTTGCCCAAGGACACAACGTCAGCAGATATCATGGGAGCAGATGACATAGGTCGTGTTGGGATTGAACCCACGACCATTTGGTCCAAAGACCAGTGCTCTACCAGTACATGTTGGACTTTGCATTAAAGATGGGTTTGTATGCAGAACACAGGTTGGCCTTTTAAGACAATATCCCAAAATAAGTGCCAAAAATGTCTTTACTATTTGTCCACTCACTTGCATATTGAACATTTTCCCCCTGTGCTGTTGTGCTATATGTCACTGCAAATGTCATTTCAACATAAGACTGGTGTGGGTACATGACTGTTACCATGTACCATGATGCCTATAGAGAATTATCATTATTTATTTTTTTAAACCAATAAAGCTATTAAAAACCGTGAACAGATCCATAAATAATTGTATGTAGAAAACTGACACTCTCAAGCGCCTTAAAGTTGTGAAAACAAAAACCCAAGAAGAGCATTGTTCGATCATGTATTAATAGGATGGTGAATATGTTTTCTTTAAATGGCTAACAAACATAAACACTAAAATCCCAAAATACATGTTCACAACACACACAAACTAATCCAACTTCAAGATGATTTTCTCTTTTGATCTTTTTGATTTCTACCTCCTCGTTTCCTTTCACTTGACCCACTTATTTAGACGCTCATCAAAGAGCTAAAATGTGACGATTTCATTGTATAATGTTAAAAGTCAACATCTAACAGTCAATATTGGAATAAATTGTGTGGCACTGTGCATAGAAAAGCTATCCAAAATGTGTAATTAGAAACTACATTGATTAAAAGTTTTGCATTTTAGTGGGATAATGAGTGAAAGTAGAGTATGAGAGGAGGGGAGCTGGCTGCAAATCACACAAGACACACATAAACGGACTAGTACACAACACAAGGAGTAAAAAACTAATCAAAATTGTCATGCACTACTTTTGAACACGGCGGGAGTCAACACCCGGTGAACAGATCATGTATGTTGATCTAAACAATAATATGCATATGCTCCACCAGGGCTCCAGATATAGAGGTGTGCATGGGAAATCTCACATCACTTATTCATGCAGCAGAGAAGCAGCTTGTTGATTCAACCTAAGGCATGACAGTGTCTGTATAGAACATTGCAAGACAGAAATACCTCATACTCAAAAGAAAAAGGGAGAAAAAAAGCCTCTGCAGCCTTGACTATCACAACTTTTCTGCCTATTAATTGCCTGCTGTCGCCGCTGTGTGGCTTTAATTAAAACCACGCAATTAGAAAATTGGAAAGTCGGAGGAGGTATGTCAGCAAGGAAATTTAACTGGTAGAAAAAATAGAAGAGAAGGAAATGCGATGTCATAGACTTTGCCATAGTGCAACCTATAATCACTGCCCCAAGTCCCTCTGGCTCAATCATGAAGCTAATATCCCTGTTTTTCCCCCACTCTCAAAATCGTTTATTTTTCTTCTTCTTTTGTTATGTCTATTTATTTTATCTG